ATACATGGAGATCATATCCCCCCTTATGTATTATACATGGAGATCATATCCCCCCTTATGTATTATACATTCATATCCCCCCTTATGTATTATACATGGGAGATCATATCCCCCCCTATATATTATACATGGAGATCATATCCCCCATTGATATGTATTATACATCCGGACCCTATCCCCCTTATATAACCATGGGATCTTTATATATTATACATGGAGATCATATCCCCCCCTTATGTATTTATACATGGAGATCATATCCCCCCCTTATGTATTATACATGGAGATCATATCCCCCCCTTATGTATTATTACATGGAGATCATATCCCCCCTTATGTATGTATTATACATGGAGATCCCCCCATATCCCCCTTATGTATTATACATGGAGATCATATCCCCCCTTATGTATTATACATGGAGATCATATCCCCCCCTTATGTATTATACATGGAGATCATATCCCCCCTTTATGTATTATACATGGAGATCATATCCCCCCTTATGTATTATACATGGAGATCATATCCCCCTTATGTATTATACATGGAGATCATATCCCCCCTTATGTATTATACATGGAGATCATATCCCCCCTTATGTATTATACATGGAGATCATATCCCCCCTTATGTATTATACATGGAGATCATATCCCCCCTTATGTATTATACATGGAGATCATATCCCCCCCCCTTATGTATACATGGAGATCATATTTATGTATTATACATGGAGATCATATCCCCCCTTATGTATTATACATGGAGATCATATCCCCCCTTATGTATTATACATGGAGATCATATCCCCCCTTATGTATTATACATGGAGATCATATCCCCCCTTATGTATTATACATGGATCATATCCCCCCTTATGTATATACCCCCCTTTATGTATTATACATGGAGATCATATCCCCCCTTATGTATTATAATACACATGGAGATCATATCCCCCCTTATGTATTATACATGGAGATCATATCCCCCCTTATGTATTATACATGGAGATCATATCCCCCCCTTATGTATTATACATGGGAGATCATATCCCCCCTTATGTATTATACATGGAGATCATATCCCCCCTTATGTATTATACATGGAGATCATATCCCCCCTTATGTATTATACATGGAGATCATATCCCCCCTTATGTATTATACATGGAGATCATATCCCCCCTTATGTATTATACATGGAGATCAATCCCCCCTTATGTATATATACATGGAGATCATCCCCCCTTATGTATTATACATGGAGATCATATCCCCCCTTATGTATTATACATGGAGATCATATATCCCCCTTATGTATTATACATGGAGATCATATCCCCCCTTATGTATTATACATGGAGAGATCATCCCCCCCTTATGTATTATACATGGAGATCATATCCCCCCCTTATGTATTATACATGGAGATCATATCCCCCCTTATGTATTATACATGGAGATCATATCCCCCCTTATGTATTATACATGGAGATCATATCCCCCCTTATGTATTATACATGGAGATCATATCCCCCCCTTATGTATTATACATGGAGATCATATCCCCCCCTTATGTATTTATACATGGAGATCATATCCCCCCTTATGTATTATACATGGAGATCATATCCCCCCTTATGTATTATACATGGAGATCATATCCCCCCCCCTTATGTATTATACATGGAGATCATATCCCCCCTTATGTATTATACATGGAGATCATATCCCCCCCTTATGTATTATACATGGAGATCATATCCCCCCTTATGTATTATACATGGAGATCATATCCCCCCCCTTATGTATTATACATGGAGATCATATCCCCCCCCTTATGTATTATACATGGAGATCATATCCCCCCCTTATGTATTATACATGGAGATCATATCCCCCTTATGTATTATACATGGAGATCATATCCCCCCTTATGTATTATACATGGAGATCATATCCCCCCCTTATGTATTATACATGGAGATCATATCCCCCCCCTTATGTATTTATACATGGAGATCATATCCCCCCTTATGTATTATACATGGAGATCATATCCCCCCTTATGTATTATACATGGAGATCATATCCCCCCTTATGTATTATACATGGAGATCATATCCCCCCCTTATGTATTATACATGGAGATCATATCCCCCCTTATGTATTATACATGGGAGATCATATCCCCCCTTATATGTATTATACATGGAGATCATATCCCCCCTTATGTATTATACATGGAGATCATATCCCCCCTTATGTATTATACATGGAGATCATATCCCCCCCTTATGTATTATACATGGAGATCATATCCCCCCTTATGTATTATAGATGGAGATCATATCCCCCCCTTATGTATTATACATGGAGATCATATCCCCCCCTTATGTATTATACATGGAGATCATATCCCCCCCCTTATGTATTATACATGGAGATCATATCCCCCCTTATGTATTATACATGGAGATCATATCCCCCCTTATGTATTATACATGGAGATCATATCCCCCCTTATGTATTATACATGGAGATCATATCCCCCCCTTATGTATTATACATGGAGATCATATCCCCCCCTTATGTATTATACATGGAGATCATATCCCCCCTTATGTATTATACATGGAGATCATATCCCCCCTTATGTATTTATACATGGAGATCATATCCCCCGCTGGAATGTATTATCCAACAGTGGGAAGACAAATTCTCATGAACTCTGTGATTCCCTTAAGCGGCTGCTGCATACGGCACAATGGAGGTGATCATATCCCTGAGATCTTCTTATCCCCCCCTTTAATAACACTTTGTCATATCCCCCCGCCGAGCGATTTACATGGAGAAGCACATATCCCCCTTGATGTAGAAATTATTCATGGAGATCATATCCCTCATTATGTATCCCGGGAACATGGAGAATCCCCCCCTTATGTAATTCATACGGAGCGATATCCCCCCTAATGTATTATACATGGAATTCATACGGACCCCGACCCCCCATTAACCGTAAATATACACATATACATAGGTTTGATCATATCCCCCTTATGTCCGGACGCTTTCATCCCCCCTTCCAGTTATACATGGAGATCATATCCCCCCTTATGTATTATACATGGGACACATATCCCCCCTTCCAGTCCGGACACTTTTCCCCCCCCCCATCCATCCGGACACTTTATGTATTATACATGGGACACTTTCCCCCCTTCCCATACATGGAGATCATATCCCCCCTTATGTATTATACATGGAGATCATTTCCCCCCCCTTCCAGTCCGGACACATGGAGATCCCCCCCTTATGTATTCATACATTTCATACCCCCCTTATGTATTACACTTGGAGATCATATCCCCCCTTATGTAGTATACCGGACATACCCCCCCCCCTTATGTCCGGACATTTCACCCCCTTTCCAGTCCGGACACTTCGATCATTCCATGGGACACTTCCCCCCCCTTCCAGTGTATTATACCATGGTCCGGATCATTTCCCCCCTTCCAGTATTATACATGGAGATCATATCCCCCCTTATGTAGTACATGGAGACACATTCCCCCCCTTCCAGTCCGGATCATCCCCCCCCTTAGTCCGGACACTTTCAAGGTCCGGGATCATGTTTTCATCCCCCCTTCCAGTCCGGACACTTATTCATGGAGATCATTCCCCCCTTATGTATTATACCGGACATTTCCCCCCTTGTATTATACATGGTAGTCCAGACACTTCCCCCCCTTCCATTATCCGGACATCCCCCCCTTTGTATTATACATGGAGACACTTTCCCCCCCTTATGTCCGGTCTAGACATTCCCCCCCCTTCCGGTCCGGACACTTTCCCCCCTTATGTATTGTCATGGACACTTTCACCCCCCCTTATGTATTATCCAGGCCGGACACTTTCACCCCCTTCCAGTCCGGATACATGGAGATTATCACCCCCCCAGTCCGGACGCTTTATTCCATGGACATCATTTCCCCCCCTTCCTGTCCGGATTATACTTTGGAGATCATATCCCCCCTTCCAGTACCGGACACTTTCACCCCCTTCCAGTCCGGACGCTATCATGGTCCCCCCCGCTTCCAGTCCGGACGCTTAATGTACCCCCTTCCATCCGGACATATTCCCACCTTATGTATTATACATGGAGATCATATCCCCCTTTATGTATTATACATGGAGATCATATCCCCCCCTTATGTATTATACATGGAGATCATATCCCCCTTATGTATTATACATGGAGATCATATCCCCCCCTTATGTATTATACATGGAGATCATATCCCCCCCTTATGTATTATACATGGAGATCATATCCTCCCTTATGTATTATACATGGAGATCATATCCCCCCCTATGTATTATACATGGAGATCATATCCCCCCCTTATGTATTATACATGGTGATCATATCCCCCCTTATGTATTATACATGGAGATCATATCCCCCCCTTATGTATTATACATGGAGATCATATCCCCCCTTATGTATTATACATGGAGATCATATCCCCCCTTATGTATTATACATGGTGATCATATCCCCTTATGTATTATACATGGAGATCATATCCCCCCTTATGTATTATACATGGAGATCATATCCCCCCTTATGTATTATACATGGAGATCATATCCCCCCTTATGTATTATACATGGAGATCATATCCCCCCTTATGTATTATACATGGAGATCATATCCCCCCTTATGTATTATACATGGAGATCATATCCCCCTTATGTATTATACATGGAGATCATATCCCCTTCTTATGTATTATACATGGAGATCACCCCCTTCCGGTCCGGACGCTTTCACCCCCTTCCAGTCCGGACGCATTCCTCCACTTCTAGTCCGGACACTTTCCCCCCCTTCCAGTCCGGACACTTTCAAAACCCTTTCCAGTCTGGACACTTTCACCCCCTTCCAGTCTGGACACTTTCACCCCCTCCAGTCCGGATACTTTCCCCCCTTCCAGTCCGGACACTTTCACCCCCTTCCAGTCTGGACACTTTCCACCCCTTCCAGTCCGGACACTTTCACCCCCCTTCCAGTCTGGACACTTTCATTCACCCCCCTTCCAGTCTGGACACTTTCCCCCCTTCCAGTCCGGACACTTTCACCCCCTTCCAGTCCGGACACTTTCCCCCTTTCCAGTCCGGACACTTTCATCCAGTCCGGACACTTTCACCCCCTTCCTGTCCGGACACTTTCCCCCCTTCCAGTCCGGACACTTTCCCCCCCTTCCAGTCCGGACACTTTCACCCCCTTCCTGTCCAGGCCAATTTTCAGCTTTCAGCGCTATCACACTTTGAATGACAATTGCGCGGTCATGCAACACTGTACCCAGATGAATTTTTTTACATTTTTTTGAGACACATAAAGCTTTATTTTGGTGGTGTTTATTCACCGCTGGGATTTTTATTTTTTTTGCTATGTAAATGAAAAAAGTCCAAAAAGTTTACAAAAAAGTGTTTTTTTTATAAAATTTTGCAAATAAATAATATTTCATCATAAATCTCGGCCAGAATGTATTCCGTTATCTTTTTAGTAAAAAAAAAAAAAATAACCCAAATTAGTTTATAACCAAAAATTATAATTTTTTTTTTTTTTTTTTTACATTTTTATTTTTTTTTTATATTATTATTTATGGTTTTGTTTTTTGTTTTTTTTACATACTGTCACCCTAGCAGTGTGGGGTTACCATGGTGACACTGTACTACTTGTGGGGGGTGATGAAGATTTTTTTTTTTTTTTACACTGATTGCTTTTACACCCCATAAAGGCTGTAAGAGGAATCATTTCTCCTTCTCTCTGGCTGCATTCCTGCAGCCATTGAGAACTACTGTGAGGGCTGTGATTGGTCACAGCTTGTCACATGGTACAAGGCTGTTGTGAATGGCCCTGTACCATGTGATCCCTGTGATCATTCACAGATTTCACACGTAGTAAGCAATGATGTCAGAAGTGACATCTTGCTTACTACTCTGCATGTGATCACTGATTGGCCAATCAGTGATCACATGATCGGGACCTCGCACAGAGGTCCCGTACGATGATCGGGTGTTCCACTGTGTCTGAAGGACACAGTGGGCATCGGATCGCGGTGCTGCGCGCGCTCCAGGGAGCACGCACACAGCAGGGTGCGGGGAGGGCCATTTATAAACAGTCACCCAACCTGCACTGCCACCGTCCGCCCGTTTATATACAACAGCCGGATGGGAGGTGGTTAAAGTGGTTGTAAACCTCAGACATGAAATATGAACAAAGCACATCCCTCTATAGTGTGTACTTGTCTCAATTTGGAGCACTCAGTGTCATTTCTGTCTGCTGTCTTCTTCCTCTGCTATCAGCATTAATCACTTTCTGACAAGTTTTTCTGACACCAAGAGAAAAAAGGTGACAGAGGAGGGACCTCCAGCACACAGCCTGTGATTGACAGCCTGAGCTCTGTTCTTGTGTGCCACAGGTGTCAAACACAAGGCCCGTGGGACGAATCCGGCCCTTTCAGGCCATTTCATGTGACCCTTGCACCTCTCCTAGAGGCAGTGGTGCATTTAGGTTTTTGTGCTGCCCTAGGCAACACACAAATTGGCGCACCCCCCCCCCCCCCCGCCCTGCAGAGAAAGCCTGATATTGACCAAGAACGCCCCTTCCCTCCACCCGAGCCTTCCACTACCACTGCCCCCCATACACCAGCCACCATCCCCCATGGTGAGAGAGAGAAAGACCCTCACCTTCACAGCTCCAGACATCCCCAGGTACAAGAGTCGGGCTTTACATACACCGTCATGAAACCCACAGCCTCTCTTGGAGCCCACCTGGTCCCCATGCTGTGTGTGTCCCTTCTTCTGTCCCTTTCTTCTAAGGGGCAGAGCTGCCCCCCCCTGAAAAATGCCGTCCTAGGCAATTGCCTTGTTTACCTTGTGGTAAATACACCCTGCCTTCAGGTACCCCCCCTTGTCTCCGCCCCCACCTTGTCTGCGTGGTGACGTCACAGCTCCACCCTCTGAGTTTTGTCAAAAATGATGTTATCAGAGGCACGCTGATGGGAAACTATACACAGATTCAGTCCCCCGTTTGTGATCCTGCTTGGGACATTTCTGCAGTCCCTCTCCTCATGGTCCTTCCAATGTCCACCATAGATTTTTTTAACTTTGATTGCTTCCTATCCACAGTTCTCTGACATTCATTTACAGCGGTTGAAACATTGTATCTATTTGTTTCCATTTAGGATACAGATGTTTTTATTCGGAAATAAATAGATACAATGTTTCAACCGCTGTAAATGTGAAGGAATTCTTCTTCTTTTCATTCTTCTTCTTTCTTTTCATTCTTCTGCTTCTCCTTTTCATTCTTCTTCTTCTTCTTTTCATTTCTTTTCATTCTTCTTCTTCTTCTTTTCATTCTTTTCATTCTTCTTCTTCATTCTTCTTTTCATTCTTCTTCTTTTCATTCTTTCTTCTTCTTCTTCTTTTCATTCTTCTTTTCATTCTTCTCATTCTTCTTTTTCATTCTTCTTTTCATTCTTCTTCTTCATTCTTCTTTTCATTCTTCTTCTTCTTCTTTCATTTTCTTCTTCTTCTTCTCTTTTCATTCTTCTTCTTCTTTTCATTCTTCTTCTTTTCATCTTCTTCTTCTTCTTCTTCTTTTCATTCTTCTTCTTTTCATTCTTCTTCATTCTTCTTTTCATTCTTCTTCTTCTTTTTTCATTCTTCTTTTCATTCTTCTTCATTCTTCTCTCATTCTTCTTCTTCTCTTTCATTCTTTTCTTCTTCTTTTCTTTCTTCTTCTTCTTCTTTTCATTCTTCTTCTTCTTCTCATTTTCATTCAATTCTTCTTCTTCATTCTTCTCTTTCTTCTTTTCATTCTTCTTCTTCATTCTTTTCTTCTTCTTCATTCTTCTTTTCATTCTTCTTCTTTTCATTCTTCTTCTTCTTTTCATTCTTCTTTTCATTCTTCTTCTTTTCATTCTTCTTCTTCATTCTCATTCTTCTTCTTCTTTTCTTCTTCTTCTCTTCTTCTTTTCATTCTTCTTCTTCTTCTTCTTCTTCTTCTTTTCTTTCTTCTTCTTTTTCATTCTTCTTCTTCTTTTCTTCTTCTTTTCTTCTTTTCATTCTTCTTTTCATTCTTTTTCATTCTTCTTTTCATTCTTCTTTTCATTCTTCTTTTTTTCTTCTTCTTCTTTTTTCATTCTTCTTTTCATTCTTCTTTCATTCTTTCATTCTTCTTCTTCTTCTTTTCATTCTTCTTTTCATTCTTCTTCTTCTTCTTCTTTTCATTCTTCTTCTTTTCATTCTTCTTCTTCTTTTCTTCTTCTTTTCATTCTTCTTCTTCTTCTCATTCTTTTCTTCTTCAGACATCTTCTTCTTTTCTTCTTCTTCTTCTTTTCATTTTCTTCTTCTTCTTTTCATCTTCTTCTTTTCATTCTTCTTCTTCTTCTTTTCATTCTTCTTTCTGAAATTCTTTTTCATTCTTCTTTTCTTCTTCTTCTTCTTCTTTTCATTCTTCTTCTTTTCATTCTTCTTTCTTCTTTTCATTCTTCTTTCTTCTTTTCTTCTTTTCTTCTTCTTCTTCTTCTTTCATTCATTCTTCTTCTTCTTCTTTTCTTCTTCTTCATTCATTCTTCCTTCTTCTTCTTCTTCTTCATTTTTTTTTCTTCTTCTTCTTCTTCTTTTCATTCTTCTTCTTCATTCTTCTTCTTCTTCTTTTCTTCTTCTTTCAATTCTTCTTCTTCTTCTTTTCATTCTTCTTCTTCTTCTTCTTTTCATTCTTCTTCTTCTTCTTCTTTTCATTCTTCTTCTTCTTCTTCTTTTCTTTTTCTTCTTTCTTCATTCTTCTTCATTCTTCATTCTTCTTTTCATTCTTCTTCTTCTTTTTCATTCTTCTTTTTCATTCTTCTCTTTCATTCTTCTTTTCAATCATTCTTCTTCTTTTCATTTCTTTTCTTCTTCTTCTTTTCTTTTCTTCTTTCTTCTTTTCATTCTTCTTCTTCATTCTTCTTTTCATTCTTCTTCTTCTTCTTCTTTTCATTCTTCTTTTCATTCTTCTTCTTCTTCTTTTCATTCTTCTCATTCTTCTTTTTTCTTCTTTTCATTTCTTCTTTTCTTTTCTTCTTCTTTTCATTCTTCTTCTTCTTCTTTTCATTCTTCTTTTCTTCTTCTTCTTCTTCTTTTCATTCTTCTTTTCTTCTTCATTCTTCTTCTTTTCTTCTTCTTCTTCTTCTTCATTCTTTCTTCTTTTCATTCTTCTTTTTCTTCTTTTCTTTTCTTCTTCTTTTTTCTTTCTTCTTCTTCTTTTTCATTCTTCTCTTCTTTTCATTCTTCTTCTTCTTCTTCTTCTTCTTCTTTTTCTTCTTCTTCTTCTTCTTCTTCTTCTTTTCATTCTTCTTTTCTTTTCATTCTTCTTCTTCTTCTTTTCATTCTTCTTCTTCTTTTCATTCTTCTTTTCATTCTTCTTCTTCTTCTTTTCATTCTCTTTCATTCTTCTTTTCTTCTTTTCTTCTTTCTTTCTTTTCATTCTTCTTCTTCTTCATTTTCATTTCTTTTTCATTCTTCTTCTTCTTCTTTTCATTCTTCTTCTTCTTCTTTTCATTTCTTTTCATTCTTCTCATTCTTCTTTTCATTCTTCTTTTCATTCTTCTTCTTCTTCTTTTTCTTCTTCTTCTTTTTCTTCTTCTTTTCTTCTTCTTCTTCTTCTTTCTTCTTCTTTTCATTCTTCTTCTATTCTTCTTCTTTTCTTCTTCTTCTTTTTCTTCTTCTTCTTCTTCTTCTTCATTCTTCTTCATTCTTCTTCATTCTTCTTCATTCTTCTTTTCATTCTTCTTTTCATTTCTTCTTCTTCTTCTTTTTCTTCTTTTCATTCTTCTTCTTCTTCTTTTCTTCTTCTTCTTCTTCTTCTTCTTTTCTTCTTTTCTTCTTTTCATTCTTCTTTTCATTCTTCTTCTTCTTCTTTTTCATTCTTCTTCTTTCATTCTTCTTCTCTTTTTCATTCTTCTTCTTCTTTCTTTCTCTTCTTTTTTCTTCTTCTTCTTTTCTTCTTCTTCTTCTTTTCTTCTTCTTTTCTTCTTCTTCTTCTTCATTCTTCTTCTTCTTCTTTTCTCTTCTTCATTCTTCTTTTTCATTCTTTCATTCTTCTTTTCACTTCTTCTTCATTCTTCTTTTTTTCTTCTTCTTTTTCATTCTTTCTTTTCTTCTTCTTTTCATTTCATTCTTCTTCTTTCTTCTTCTTCTTCTTCTTCTTCTTCTTCTTCATTTCTTTTCATTCTTCTTCATTCTTCTTTTCTTCTTCTTCTTCTTCTTCTTCTTTTTCT